TAAAGCACAAAGGCGTGCATTCAGTCACAGATTATTTGTTGAGCGACTAGGATGTACAAAGCCCCAGGAATGGAAAAGGGACCAGGAGAGCAAAGTTCACAAGGGGCGGGTAGAAAAATACAAGCATGGACCGAATTGTGAAACAAATAATCAACTATGTCCTAATGATTAGTGTCCACCTCAATAAATGGCCACGGGATGAGCACCCTGTCGGGTACTTTCCGGGTGAGAAGGAAGATCTCAGCACTGGAAGCCCCGCCTCATGCTCCCTCCCATGACCACAGCAATTGTACCAGTTTTCACCCCTTGTGTAGGTTCTAGCGGTTTCATCTCTTTGCCCACAACAATACCTCATCCTGGTTTACTGTGTTTTTGGTTTTGTTTTGTTTTGTTTTGTTTTTTGAGACAGGGTCTCACTATGTAGCCCAGGCTGGCCTCAAACTCATGGGGATCCTCCTGCCTCAGCCTCCCAAGTGCTGGGATTACGGACATGTGCCACCGTGCTCAGCTTCATCCCGGTTTGATTTTTTTTTTTTTTGTCTTTTTGAGACAGGGTCTTACTATGAAGTTCAGGCTGGCCATAAGCTTACTTTGTAGCCCAGTCTGGTCTTGAACTGTGCAACGATCCTCCTGCCTCAGCCTCCCGAGTGCTGGGATTACAGGTGTGTGCCACCACACCCAGATGATCCTGGTTTGAATCAGAACCAGGTTTGATTTTTGGCAAAATAAAAGTGTGTGATGTCCTTAAGCCTGGGTTTTACGGAGTAGTTCATCATCCTTACAAAGGTGGTGCTGAACTTCGTAGCGGAAGTACCTGTGGGGTTCAGGTGGGAGAGGGCTTGAGGAGGCTGCTCGGAGGGAGCCCGGGTGCTAGCGCTGCGTGGTGCATGGCAGGAGGGGCCTGGGCATGGGTCTGGGTGAGGGTCAAGAGCTCCGAGTGTAAAACTGGGTCTCCCCACTCTCACTCGCTCTTCAGCCTCCTGGCCCCCAGCAGCCTCCAACTCACGTTTAGCAAGGTGCGAAGAGACATCTGCCTCCAAAGCCACCTGCTGAGGCCACCAGCCCAACACGCCTGTGTTTTATCCTGGCCGCTGAATCCTCCCCTCTTGCTTCTGGCGGTGGTGGATGGGAAGACCATGCAAATGTTTTATTTTGCTTGGGATGATTTAAAAAAAAAAATCCCAGACCTCCCTAGAGCGGAAGGCAGCTGATTCTCCGGCCAGGCACTGGCGGCTGCCCTGGCAGGAAGGGGAGCCCAGGCTGGTCAATCATTACCAGCGGGATGGAGAAGGGCGTGAGCTTCTACACAGAGAGCCCGAAAGGAGAAAGGAATTAACCAGTGCGTGCTGAGCTTGCCTGGGGTGAAGAGGAAGAGGCAGGTGACCAGCCTCGCAGGGGCCGGGCCCTCCCTGATTTATGGGGTGACCTCTACAGGCCTCTCCCAGGCTGGAAATGGGCTGTTCACAATGCCTCCCCCCACCACACACCTGCAAGGTAGGTAGGATTTTAAGGTGCATTCCTTTGAACGAAGTTTCTATGTTTTCCTTTGGATAGTTGCCTAGTAATTGGCTTTGTGCTTTTTGATTCAGACATGGTTTAAAATACCCAGGACCTCAGATTGCATTCTCTCGTTCTCTGTCTCTGTGTCTGTCTCTCGCATATGCACCTGTGTCTCTTCTTAGGCACGAGAGGGGTGAGAATGTTATAGGAGGTGGGCAGCTTTAAAAAATCCTCGAGCTGGCCTTGGTGGTTGATGCCTGTAATTGCAGCACTTGGAAGGCTGAAGCAGGAGGATCACTGAGAGTTTGAGGCCAGCCTGGGTTCCATAGGGCATTCAGGGCCAGCCCAAACTGTAAAGTGGGATCCTGTCTCAAAAAAAGTCCTCAAGGTCTTAGTTAAATCTATCGAGCTCACTTGTCGCCTCCCCTCACCCCTGGCATCTCTGCTTTCTCTTTTCCTCTCCCCGCAGTGACCCCACAGAGCACCGCCAGCTCAGAGTTCCTTTATCTCAGGTCAGCGCTTCCTGCAGAAGGCGCATGCACCTGACTTGCTTTGGCCCTGGCCTGATTCGTCCCTGGGCTGGTCCCAGGGACTCTGCCTGCTTCTTCCAGTTTGTGGGACATGCTGGTGACAGACAGCAGCGGCAGGGCCACAGTGGCTGGCATGCAAGTAGGCTCCTCTGGAGGATTTCAGAGTTCTTTGATACCAAAAAGCCAAACTCAGGCAAGCCATTCCCATAGGCAGCAGCTGCTGTGAGTACAGGGAGTGGCTTCCCAGAGACGCCTGAGAAAAGGTTATTTTTTTCCTGCAAGGTTCCACAAAGTGAACGAGTCCAGTGCCTGTCCACAGGGGTCCATGGAGGGTTTTTTTGGGAGCTCCTGGACAGTGAAGACTTCAGGGCCCGGTGGTCAGTGGTAACCAAGGCGACCCTAAGGACTGAAGGCTGGTATCCTACCCTTTCTAAGTCGAGGGTCTCCATAAGTGCTGGGGCCCAAACACTCCTGAAACAGGAAGAGGGAACCAAATCACAGCTGACTTGAGACCTGTCTGGACCACAGCCAAATTTGACTTGATTTAGAGAAACAAAGAAACATCATTTCTTAATCCCGCAAGGGGCAGACTGTAATGTACACCTCTTGTGGCGGCTTCCTGGAAAACATCTGAGCCTGACTGATGCTTCCTCTTCCATTCTGAAATTTGGGGTCATGCCTCCAAAAGGAGACCTTACTGTTGTCCAAACAACCGTGGTCAAGACCTCCCAGTGAAGAACTAGGCAGAAGCAGACATTTACTTGATGGCTAAGGGGTGCTCAGGGGACCCAAGGGACTTGTCTTGGGAGTGAATGAGAGCAAGGAAGCAGGAGGAAAACCGGGAACTGCAGCCTTGTGTGCTGCTGCTTGAGAGAGGCCATTAATCCTCTGTTTGGACCAACTTCCTGTTTAGCTGGCCTCCTATAAAACAGAACCATGATGTCACTTCCTGTGCAGCACTTCCTGTTTCCCAGGGGGATTTCAACTGAGACCACTAGGTCTGACATCATTCACCCAGGCCAGAGCAAGTGCTGCATAGAGCGATGGTTCAGAAAGAGCCATGAGGCATGAGACAGTCCACTTCGTCATCTGGATTCAATCTGGACATAAAGATGATTAGACTATTGGTCATCTCCTTGTTGCAGTTAATGTATGTGTCCTCTGATGACCGGTCTGGCTTCAAATCCTGGGTCTTCTACTCGACTGCTCTGTGATTCCGGGTAACTCAATTTAATCTCTGTGCTTGCTGGCATGCATGAGTTCCTGGGTTCAGTCCCCAGTACTGAAAAAAAAAAGCTATTTTTTCATCAAATTCTCATTTATCTAAGTGATCAAGCCAGTAAATGAAAAGTATTTCTGGCACATAGTAAATGCTCAATAAATTGTGATCGTTATTGTGAGTCTTCCTCCTGAGCAGAAGACATAGACGTATTTTATTTTTACTATAGAAAGAGTTCAAGGAAAGTTATTTTCCTTTTCTATTCTATTAATTAGAATCTCTTCACTAAACACATCCTGGATCATGACTGTCAGGTAAGGATTGACAGAAGGTCACTCTGTAGAAGATTTTCTCTTTTATTGATCCAGATTTATTCATTTTTAAAATAATGAATGAGCACAAGTAGATTAAAATGGCTGGTTTCATCAAAAGCAAATGATGACTTTTCTGACTGCAGGGCCAGCCTCAGTGGGGTAGAAGGGCCAGGGATATAGTTCAGTGGCACAAGTACCTGCCTGGCAAGTGCAGGGTCCTGAGTTTGACTTCTAGTACCAAAAAAAAAAAAAAAAAATCAATGGGATGGCAGACCCCAGGCTTCTTGGCTTCTGTGTGATCAGATTAAGACCACAGTGTGTGTCACCTGCTCTTTTGACAGGTGCTGCCTGCCACCTGGGGCCTAGAAGTCACACAACATGGATGCCTGTGCCTTCAGCTTCTGCCTCTCTGTGTTGCTAGAGATCCCTGAGAGATTTCCGGGACAGTGCAGTGTATTTGGCGTGAACGTCGAGGCCTGCAGGAACCGGAAGTGGGAGGCTCAGCCTGCACACACTCCTGGTTTTTTATCCCCCATGAAGGACTGATGGTCTGGGGGGCCCCCAGCCCCGAGTCAGGGAAGCCTCAGGCCTTGCCACTTCTAGGCTCCGGCTGCAGCGTGCTGGCCTTTCCTTCCGTTCTGAGGCCTCTGGGGCCTTCTTTGGGACCTCCCTGTGCTGGTGCCTGGCCGTCCTTCTGCACACAGCCGTGGCCACACTGAGGCTCAGGGCTTCTGGCGTGGGGCACTCCACTGCACATGCAGAGGCCGAGCAGGCTGCCGTGCGAGATGCCCCAGGAGCAGGTCCAACCCCCGGGGCTGTGTGCTGTGACCATTTACAGTGTTCCGCCACGTGAGTGACATCACAGCCGGAAGGGACACTGGCGACCTCAAAGCTGTCTGACCCTCCCGGGCCTCCCAGCAGTTGCTCCCAGCAACAAGAGAACAGTCTCGCTGCTCTCACGACACCAGGAACTGGCCACCCTGGGAAGGAAGCCCCTGAAGTTCCCCCAGGGCCTTGGGGACGAGCAGGACTCTTGACTGGGCTTCTTGCCAAACGTCTAGCAAGCCGAGCCAGCAGGTGAGCGGTGCTTGGCTTTTCCTTCTTGCTTTTGCTTTCTTAACAGTGGGGACTCTCTCATAGTAGAAGACAGCAGTGTCCTTATTTTGTGATTTATGTTCCCTGTCTTTTTTACCATGGAAAGCCCTTGCCTTCTGCCCTGCCTCTGAGTTAAAGCAGGGGTACAGTGACCGTCTGTGGGGATAGCTCAAGCATCTGTGGGATGAGTATTAGCCGGGCTGGTTTTCCCATCATGCACCAGGGTGGCCACTGCCCAGCTGTGGCTCAGCAGCCCTTTCCTTAGGCTGAAACCCCCCGCCCTCCAGGCTGGGACTGTGGTTCTCAGCACAGAACAGTCTGGAAATAGAAACTACTGCTGTCTTTTGCATAAACAACCACATCCAAAGTGTTTATTCCTGGGTCACAAACAAACCCCACTGACCAACACGCCCAGTCTCACCTTTTATGACATTCTTATTGAATCACCCACATAAATACATATAATAAATACAAAAACAGCGAAGATTTTTTAAAAAGTCTTTGGTATACAGAGGTTCAACGTCTTCCTAACTCCCCATCCTTCCCTATGTTGGAAGCGTGTGTGTGTGTGTCCTGTCCGGTGTATGTTCACGTTATTTCCTTGGGTACAAAAACAACCCAGAATTAAACTTGATGCTGGAACTCCTGGCAGTCAGCAGTCACTCAGGGGACCCAGCGGGCCCGACAGCTGCCCTGGGGAGGGACAGAGGGGAGGACTCACACGTAATCGTTCAGCCTGTACCCACTGTGGGAAGCCGAGGTCACCGAGGGGGCCCGGTTGTCCTTGTAGGCGTTGGGCGGCTGGTAAGCGGGCACAGTGCTGGTGGCGGCTGCCCTGGCCTGGGCCTGGTAGGGTCTGTAGGGGGCTTCGTCCTGGCAGGACAGGCACAGGAGCGTGCCCCCAATGAGCGACAGGGACGAGGAGATGAAGCCGAGGTACAGGGCCTGGCCGATCTCGAACTTCATGCCGCTGGGCAGCAGGGGGTTGTAGAAGTTCTGCACCACGTCGTTGGTGACCCAGGAGACGGCCACCATGCAGAGGAGCCCAGCCAGCAGGAAGAGCACGCCCCCGAGCACGGCGAAGGTGGCCTTGGCCGGCGAGCCCTTGACGCAGCGGGTACACTTCATGCCCACGACGGCAGAGGCGCAGGCCAGGCCGGACAGCAGGCAGGAGATGACCATGAGCGCGCGGGCTGCCTGCAGGTCACGGGGCAGCGCCAGCAGCGAGCGGTAGATCTGGCACTGGTAGATGCCCGTGCTGTGCCACACGCATTCCATCCAGAGGCCCTTCAGGTAAGACACGGCCGTGAGGATGTTGGTGCCCACGTGTGCCGTCCTACGCCAATGTGGCAGCAGCGTCGTGATCAGGGTGCCCACCATGCCCAGGAAGCTGAGCAGGAAGCCCAGGAGCTGGACGGCGGTGCTGGCCATGGCCTCCGGCACCTGCCTAGCCCAGCCACTGCTGGGCAGCGCCCCGCTCCCTTGGGATCACACCGCTCCTTGGGCACCAGCAGGAGTCCTAATAAAGCCGAGGGAGGTGCGGGGGAGGGAGAGAAGGGGAGACAGGTTAAATATTATCTCAGTGCTTTTATTTCAGTCTCCGAAACTGAAGTTTCCGTAGGCAGTTGGTAGAAGTGTTAACATATTCTGCAAAATTGTTTCTGAGAGTTCACTGGGGAGAGGAATAAACTGCTTTCACTGGGTGGGGGGAACCAGGTCAGGGGCCCCTGTTTCTGCTTCCATAGGCCTACATTCGGGAGGTTCCACCTTAGCTCTACCCTCAAGCATTTCTGCTGCGTCCCCATTTGGTCAGTAACTGCGGTTAAATCCACAGGTGTTACTTATCCTGACGGATTGACGAGTGTGGCGGGTAGGCTGGCGATGACTTAGAAGATGGCCTTGGGCTGCCTGTCGGATGAAGGAGGTGAGAAGCGTTTTACAGAGTAGGTTCCTTTCCCGTGTGGAGAGTGGGCAGAGGTTTAGCCCCTTGCCCAGGTCAGACACTGCCTGCAGAACTCTGGATGGATGTGACATGGAGCTTGTTGACCAGAGTGCCGAAGGCCAAGGTGATCAAGGTCACCAGCTCCTTGGCTGCAGCCCGCACCTGTCCCTGTCGCTTGGTTGGGGTTGAACTTGCAACGCTCCTGCCTCAGCCTCTCAGAGTGCTTGGATTATGGCGTGCACCACCAAGCTCAGCTCAGAAGTTTTGGAAAAGAAATCGTAAGCCGAGCAGAATCTAGTCCATGGGAACAAGGATCTAACCCCTGCTGTGTAGAGCCTGGCGTGTCCCGGATGTTCAGGAAATATTAGAAGGAGGAAAGGGTAGAAGGAAGGGAAGGAGAGGGGTGGAGGTAAGGTTTTCTGTTGTCATCTCAGGTGATGATTGTTCCAGGCTCCAGGTTCTTTTTACACACGTGACACGCTGGATTTGCCTGTGTGCTTTGTTGTGACGTTGGCTTTTTTTAGGCCCTGCGTGATGTTTTTCTTCCCTTAACTTAGCAAGTACCCACTCTGCCCAGGGCCCAGGGCGCAGGGCCAGCCATCCTGTGGTCACTGTCACGGTGGAGGAGTGGCCCACTGAGGCCAGCGTGGCTGGGTGGGTCTGTGCAGTCAGACTGCTCTGGGTGGGTCCACCCTGTACCCCGAGTGCAGTGAGAGCACTGACTACATCACCTACTTATTCTGGACTACCTGAGGCTGCAGGGACTGTCACCACCCCGCTTTGCACCAAGGAAGCTGGGGGTGTGCAGGGGCCGATCGTTTTATACCTGACCTGGCTAGGGCAGTCCTTGGCTTGCTTCCTCCTTTCAACACCACCTTCCCCAATTAAACAAGCCCACAGTTAGCACAGGGTTACTGTGGTTCACGTGTGGACTTCCTGCAAGCCTCAGGCACTCACAGGTGGGGCTTTTGGCCGGTGATTGGATGATGGGGATCAGAGCTGACTTGCTGTGAGGAGGTGGGGCCTGGTTGAAAGAGGGGGTCACTGGAGATGTGGCCTCAAAGGGTTCATCTCCCTCCCTGCTGTCTGTGCTTCCCAGACGCCATGAGGTGAGCAGCTCAGGCCTTTCTACGACCCTGTCCTGCTTTGGAGCCAGAGACCATGAACTGAACCTCCACAAACTGTGAGCCAAAGTAAATCTCCCCTCCTTTAAATTGTGTCATGTATTGTGTCAGTGACGAGAAAGCAACAAAGACATGAGGAAACCCAGGGATGGAGTCCGGTGTGTTGAGTCATCTCTCCAAATGTCCCAGAAGAGTGGCCTTGCTGCTCTGGCAGGGTGAACACCTAGGCTGCTTTGCCAGGGACTGCCGGGTCATGCGGGACGGGACCCTCCCCGGGACACTGAGGCCATCCTACTGTCCCAGGGGCTGCAGGCTTCTGCAGAAGACCCCTGAGATGCCTCCCTGAGATACCCAGAAGCTGCCTGCAGACTGGTGGTCTTCTGGGGCATTGAAGGTTATCATTAAGGGCCCCAAATGCTAAAGAACACGGCAGAAAGGCAAAGCGTGCTCGAGCCTGTTAGGGTAGGCGAGCGGATGGCGCTCACTAGAAATCGCAGTATTTATGGGAAGCAATGAAGGTCAGTTTTAGAAACCATTAGGGTGCTATTTTTAGACTTGCATCCTAAGGGTTTTCTAATTTAAGCAGTGTTAATGAGCCCCTACCTGCACAGCTCTGCTCCCTGCCCCTCCTGTGAGCAGCAGCGGCTACCAGCGTCAGGTAATAACAGCCTCCCATTGCTTGGGGCTACTCCATAGAAAGTGACTCCTGGATGAGCCCGGCCTCCCAGGAGCACGGGCGGGCTGAGCTGGCCTGTCCAGGCTGCCTGTGGTTTCTCCTGCGGGCCACCCTCTTGTGCATGTGGAAACTTTTGCTAGAGGGGTACGGGCCCAAAACGAGCAGGGTTCCAAGCACAGGATGAGCTGGCAGAAGTGGCAGCTGAGCCGCACAAGGTGATGAGTTCCAGGAAGGACTGAGTGCCGGGGCCCGCGTTTGGATTAACAGTGCTTCCGAAGCGCACTCCTGGGTGGGCGGTGGCGGCTTCAGGGCTGGTGCAAGCTTTCTTGGCACAGCAAGTGCTTTGCAGGCTGGGTGGTGTGGAGGACAGAAGCCTTGAGGATGTTGGAGGGAAGCTGAGTGACTAAGATTTCTCCTGGCTGGTAACATGCAAACGTGCTCTGTGATTTTCCCAGGAAAAGTGTCCTGTGAGGCATTTTCTGTACTCATCTGACTTGAGCCAGGTGTGGTGGTGCACACCTGTAATGCCAACAGTCAGAAGGCTGAGGCAGGGGGATTGCTGTGAGTTCAAGGCCAGCTTGGGCTACAGAGTGAGTTCAAGGCCTGCCTGAATTACGCAGCAAGACCTTGTCTCAACAAAACCAAGACAACTTTATCTGACTAGGATACCTCACACCCCCTTTTCCAAAGAACAACTTCAAGTGAAATCAGTCTGGCGAAGTCATTTGGACTTTAGTTCCTTAAAAATGTCCTGGTGGCAATGGCGGGAAAGGATTGATTTTGCAAAAGATAATGTGATTTTTGAGAGGGTAAATGAACACAGGGGGGCTCTGCCCTAAAACCCTGGGCTGGGAAGAACTGTGAAAACCTGTGCCGGGCAGCTGAGAAAAGCCCCCCATCCACATCTCCCTCACACTGGGTCTGGTTTTACGAGCGCTGGCTCTGAAGGGTGAGGGTTTTTTTTTCCATATAGACTTTTATGCTGTCTCCTTCCTCTGTAGTCTGGGAGCTACATTTTCTTTGAAAGGCAGGCATTGGGGAAATGTAGGAGCCCTCAGCAGGCAGGCTCTGTTCTCATTTTGCTCGGGGGCCAGGCTGCCTGGGGCCTGGCTGTGTGGACTGCACAGTTCTGTCTCCGTATTAAGCATCATTTCTACAGGAGTGGCCATCGGAGACGGTGGGCCAGGACATGGGACAGAGAGGCTGCGTGCCAGTCCCTGTCCCCACTTTCTGATCACCCAGTGTCCCAGTTCCTACGACCCATGGCTCCCTGGTCCTCTCCCACCTGCGCCAGTGAAGACGTGCCAGCCCCCACCGGGAGCAGCGCAGGTCGCATGCAGGGCGGTGGGACAGGAAGCAGGCCTGTGAGAAGCGCCTCTCCCTGGCCCCAGCGGGCACTGCTGTCTGGGTGAAGAGCTGGGTGATTTGGGCAATGGCTCCTCTTCACTCTGAGCTGCCCCGTGGCTGAGGTGCCCTCAGAAAGGACTGGGAGGAAGCCGGCTTGTCTGCCTACATCTGACCCCCAAATGCTACTGACGTGGTGGCGGGTCCGTGGGTGGTGATGACTTTAAACTAGATTTGCTTCTTGTAACTTTGCTAGAGGAAAGGGAAGAGCTGCATAGAAACAACTGCTGTTCACCCTTGCAAAAGGCAGAGTTGCCTGACTTTGACATTCAGCAATTTAGGAAAATGGTTCAGACAGCCATAGCCCCCCACCCTTGCTGCCTCTTTGTTAGTGGTTAGATATTTCACAGAGGCTTCATAAACTGGAGCAGGATCTCAACTTACCTCCAGGAGATAAATTAGCAAAACTACCCCACATACAAAATAAAGTATCTTTAATGCTGTGTCAGATGTAAACAACTTTGCGTAGCGTTTCCTAAGGACACGCTGAGCACTGGATTTCCTAATAATATACAAAGCAGATGGACCTTTCCTAGCAGATTACGTGTACTTTGAAGATTCTCTTTCAGCATATCTTCTTACACAAATATAGGTGAATAAGGAGAAAGTGGTCAAGTCATACATCCGAAAAACCATTTCGTGTTCGCTTAAGATGGACTGTTATGTGGGTTTTTTGGCTCTAAAAATGAAGTTTCCTTCATTACTATTCCAAACTTTTGGTAATTTTCCTTGGGTTCCTTTTCAGACTGGCAGGCATCTGTATTTTAAATTTATGAGTCCTTTCTATGCCATCCACAGTGTTTTTCACGCCGCTTTTCCATGAGAGGCAGAGTCAGGATAATTACACAACTAGAACTTACTAGATCACGATAGTTAATGCGGATATTGTTTTTCAGGAAAACCACCATGAAATATCTTCCCTGAAATGCTAGAGAAATGACAAGTTATAGATTGATTCCACCCTCCCCTTCTTTGAGATGAATAAAGAAAGGTCTAGTTTTCATAGCATGGGTTGGTTTTGGGAAAGGGGTGTGTTAACACAAGTGAAAACTCTACGTAGTTAAAGACCTGTAAAGGGCCGTTCTCAACCCAGTGATAGGGAAGAGTCTTGATTTACTGAAAACTACAAATTTAAGTCACTGTTACCACAAAAATTCTAAACTCTTTCCTTGGAGGCATTATCTCTGATTTCAAGTCACCAAATTTTCATTAGATTTCTTTAAAAATGCAAGAGATCAACATTTTAAAGTGAAATGATTGAATTGCATTTACTAAAGCACATCAGGGCACTTTCATAGCTGTTTCCTCTGAAAGACAGTCATGTAGATTTGCTCTGCTGTTTTTCAGTTTTTGGCATTCAGGTGACTTAAAAC